ACACACACACACACACACACACACACACACACACACACACACACACAAGAGAGTGACAGAATCATATCTTGTGAATGCAGACCTAACAGATTCTTAATCCATCCACACACACACACACACTTTGATGATGTCATCATTCTGAGCCTCTGATGTTTCACTTTTCTCTCACTTCAACTTCAAACATCATTTTGTCGTGACATCACTGTTCCACACACCGACATGTGCTCACACTCAACACACACTGCAGAAGCTGTCATGTGTTACCTCCTGTGCATTAGCATTGAATGTCAGGCAGCCTTCATCTAGTTGTAAGTAGAGTCTTCTATATGAGAAACCAGCAGGTAGTCTTCTGTTGTAGATGGAGCAGTGTCCCCATGTGGACTTACACAGCCTGATGGATCGACACATGTGGGTTAAAGGATAGAAACAAATAAAAAACAACATAATAGAACTTTACTGCATACATGTGGTGAAAAACAAAAAGCTGTCTGGTAAGTTGACCGAAAACAACTGACAAAGACAGCAGTTGACAAAACAAGTTTTTACTACCTTGAACTTTCTCCTGAAAGTCTATCTGTCATCATTTCTTTTGTATGTCAGTGTGGCAGATCACACAATGCAGTTCAGAGATAGACGCTATTCATTTAAAGTACACATTGGGTCACCAAACCCCTAAATTTGGTGGCCAAATTATATTTTTGGTGGGCCAAAAAACTTATGTAAAACAATACAGCCTTTCTTAACTGTGACAATGAAAAGACATTAACAGAATGGAAATACATACAATACTAAAACTCAGTGTCTTAGCTCTGAGCCCTCTTTTCCCTTAACCTGTATTTAGACAGGTAATCTTATTGAGACACGCACCCCTGCCATAGATATTCGTCGCTTCCCAGGTCCTGCCACACACAGCCAGCCAGGCACAGGTCAGTAGCATTTAGGTATGACAGGATGGTGATGCCTAATTCGGGTGGCAACATCTCCAAATCTATAAAACCATGTTGTTCCTTACCTACAGGAACAGATAAAAAGAAGGAGGAAGGCAGAAATAGAAAACAGATCAGTCAACTGTCTTACATGTCCAGCTCCCTCGTCTCGAAGTCAACAGGTTTTTTTGAATGGGTTTTCGGTGAGACGCCTGGTCTGTCTTCAACACAAGCTTAAGAGATTTTAACGTTTTGTTATACGACATAAAATACGTCAGTAAATATCCCACTCCAAAATGTTGAAGCTTTTACGTGTCTTAAAAAAGGCAGTTGCTAACAAGTGGCTAAATGAGACTACAGAGGTTGTCAGGAAAATTAAAAGTCATCACGCCGAACACGGAAAGTCATCTACTCACTAGTCAGCCTCTACAGCCTCGTTGTGTGTATACTCACACTTATGTGACCGTGGTGTAGTTTGTTTATAGCAAAACATTACCTTGTGAACAAAACGTCTAAGTATTGACAACATTTGTCTGCCACAGAGTTTATTTTCTGCAATAATACAAAACGCAATGGAAAAATCCCATTGGCTCAGAAGGCTGAGAAAACGAGTGCAATGCTAACTTCCGGATTGGCCTACAAAAATACCTTATCCCTGCAGCCCTCTTTTGCTGTTAGAGGACAGTAATATTCCATTTCCCAACCCTAAAATGAATTAAAGAGCAGTGCAGAGCTTTTCACAAATAAAAAAGGTAGAAGGAGGTAGCGCTCAAAGAGATTGACTGCTTTGTTGCCTCATGACTTCTGTTGAACACACTGCAAAAATAAGCAGCTCTCTCTTATTGGCTGCCTTAAAACTCCGACCCATTTCACAGTTGTAAATGTAAACATTCCAGATGTGGTCCAGTTTAGTTCCTGTTGCAGTGTATGTGAATGACATAAGCTGACAGGAAGTAGACCTGGTCCCATTGACACACTCTATTCAATATGTGGACGGACTCATTGCAAAAAGTACAGGTGACGGTTGGCCACTCATGGCCCGTATCATACTGAAAAATTAAGAATAGAGACTCCTGTCCTGTGCCTTGGTGGAAATTTGGTTTAGATTTAATCTAATTTATCAACCACTGCAAGAGTAGAAATATTGCTTGCATTAAACTTGCATTCCATAAGACTAAGATCCTTTTAGCAGTTTTTCAAGCCTAATCCTAATGTACTAACTGGTGTTAAAGCCCTTAACTCACCTCAATGAAATCAAATGAAGGCAGCAAAAATGCATGAACCTTGTTGGATTATCTATCTCTGTTTGGAATGTATCACCCTGTACGTGATTCAATGGAAGTGATGGCTTCTTCTGTAGGTGGGCAACCAATCCCTGTTATTTCCAACTATGCTGACTGTATGCACACACCATCATAAATAATGGAAAGGAGAGGGGCAACCAAAGATCAGTAAAAACATTCAAAATACATAATAAGAGCGAGCGTTAGTAGCTAGAGTGTGTGTGTTCGTACCTCCCATGCGTGTTCTCAGCAGATGATAGATGTCGGGGCCATAACACGGCTGAGGAGCTCTTTTCTGGGGATCTCCATCTCTCCCTAAAAGAAGATACATTCATGTTTCTACTTTTTTTATTCCATCACTTTCATGACTTGCTTACTTCTATTTAGCATGACAGAGAAGCAGGAGACTATCCCAACATGCATTGTGGTTTAAGACTGACCAGACAGACAGAGTTTTTGTCATCATTTAACTTGATCTACCTTATGAACCATCCCGACCCCTTCGGTCGTCTGGGACTGGTCTAATTTCTGTTCCCAGAGTCAGAACTAAACATGGAGAAGTTCAGTTTTTCTGCTCCACATTTCTGGAACAAAGTCCAGAAAGCTGCAGACCCTCAGCTCCTTTAAATCAAGATTGAAGACTTTTCTGTTCGCTGCTGCCTTTAATTAAACCAGATTCAAGGATATTAATCAATTTCTGCATTTCACTACTGCATTTTATTTCTTACACTGCTTTTTAGTGTTTTAATGACTGTTTTTAATGTTTCAATGAATGTTCTTAATTGTTTTTAAATCTCCTTTTCTTTTGCCTTATGTTTTGATGCTTTTATGTGAAGCACTTTGAATTGCCTTGTTGAAATGTGCTGTACAAATAAACTTGTCTTGCCTTGATCAATAGATAACTTCAGTCAGATGTATTATTATCTTTGGCGCTTTTTTATTCTTACAGTTTTGTTAATAATGTGTTCATACAGTATGGTTTTACTGGTGTCTTTCTTCACAATGTACAGTATTTACTTTTAGTTTATTGTGTAAATTGTAAAACCCTGAAAATTTGACACTCATTATAGTGTATATGTATGAAATGAGGTGCTCGTTGAATTTCAGATGAATGAAAGTAGTGATTAAGTTCAAACTTGTTTTTTGCTCTACTCGCCTCCTTTGAGTAAAACGTTACTTACTGTAAGCCACTACAAGAGATTACACTTCAAGACTTTTGTTTGCAAAATCCTAGGAGCATAGCAACAAGAAAGAGACACATTGCTAGGGGCAAAACAATTACAAGAAAAACTGCTTTGAGAAACACCGGAGCAAGAATGACAGGTGGAGTCAGATTTATAGCAGACAAAAGGATGAAAGTATTGGAATCCTGGAAACAGAAAACTAGTAAGATTAAGGCTGATGGAGACCAAGCTAATGAAGTGATTATATATAATATATTATTATTATTATTATTATTTTATAATATATTACATTATTATATTATATTATACATATATTATATTATATTATATATAATAATGTAACTGTGTAACACTAACCACTGATGAAAACCACTTGTTATTGCTAGTTGTTATTTGGATAATACAGTGATAGATAAACATCCGGTGTATTTTTATCCACTTCATTAAAAGAATTACTCTCACTTTTGGCAGTAAACTGAAGCTTTATGCAACATGACATGGTGCATGTCATTTTCAGTTCATTCTGTTATTTTCTCTGAACAGCAATGATTCTGCAATGGGTGGAAGCTGCACAGATTGAGTTTGATTTATTTCATCGTCTGTCAATTTTAAACTGTGTTGGTTCTTTTAAATGTCTTAAGAACTTTTAGAAAAGGTACACAATGACATCTGACTCTGATTTACCTGCCCTTATTCTTTTTTTTGTGTCTGGTGGAATTACTGAAGGAACACACCGACAGTGATTATATTTTTGACAAATAACACAATCTTGAGGTTCAAAATGTCTAGTCAAACAATTAAATAAATCCATATTCTTTATTTTATTAACATTAGAGGTACATAACATAAACAGGAACTTTAAAAAAAAAAGAAAGATATTTAAGTTGGTGCTTGCTGTGCTAATATTGAGTTGAAAGTTTATTTATATGGACTGAAACCCAGAACCTTAAATAAATATATAAATGAACCTTAATAACAAACTCATATTGTATCGGAAATGAAACACAACCTTTGTGATAGCAGCAGTCACGCACAAACTTTAAAATCCTCAGCCAAAAGTAATTAGTTAAGAAATGTGAGGATTACCTTGCTCTTGTCCTCCTCCTCCTCCTCCTCCTCGGTCAGCCAGTCGGTCTGCAAGCTCTTCCTGAAGCTGCAGCTGTTGTCTGGGAGGCAGCCTCCACAGTGCTTGACCCATCTACGTATATGGCAGCACAGTAACACAATACAAGCTGGTCACTTGGATGATGATACAATATAACAATATGCTGTAACACAGCTGACCCACGTGTAAGGTAATAAGTGACACACGGTGCCTGTACACTCTCTCATTTATACCTCACAGGAGAGGTACTGCACATGATCAAAGGGTGTACTGTGAGCAGCACATTGGACAACTGCTCGTACAGCAGTATGTTTACATGCAATAATCTGCTCATATTTGTGATGATCTATTTCAATATCCCATTTATGTATTGTGCATAAACAATATGTTGGTTACATACATCTGACTAAACTAGTTGTGGTTTTCCAAAAGTCAACATCTTATCCATGTGTATGTCAGTGAGTTACTAGTTAGGCAGGAAAACAATTAATATAACCTGTTATGATCTTCCATTACTGGCAACCTAATAGAGCAGGCAACTCCACAAGACAGTGTGGAAATCAGTTCAGGAAAAAAAATCCAGAAACACTTTGATTGAAGATGATCACAAATAAGATACGACTCACTCATATAAGAATACCATATACCCACTATACTTCAAACAACATGTACTAACCACTGGGCGGAATGGTTCTCAGATTCTTACAATACATTGTCCTGTATCATATCATTCCGACTATCCACTAGTGAATAAAATAATTCACCACTAGTTATATACAAAATCTTCCCAACAATCTGGTATTTACAATGGGAATGATATAATGTGTTATTATCATTTCCTCTGGTTAATTTGTTCGCACTGCTAGTCTTTCATGTTAAAGCATATGTGCTGCTGAAAAACACTAAAAACTGGTAAAACCAGACTGTTCCATTCAAGTCTCAACTATTACATAGGAATTCTTAACACTGTACAGTGTTCGATAGACTCAATCATGCCTATGATAGTATCTTCTTCAATAGCATACAGCTACCATTCAACAAGGTCAGATTATATTTGGGTCAGCTACAGTTATTTTATAATTCAAGGCATAATGTTCTACAACTGCTTATTCACTTTATTATATTATGAAAAAAATAATCAATGAACTAAGTGATAATGTATGACGGCATGCTATATATTGCATTCTATAGTTTCCTGTGTTAGACAATATTTCAGAGTTCTTACAATTAAGAATGCATGTAACCCTTCTGACACCTCATCAGCATCTACTTAGAGCATTGTCACAACTCTCTGCTGATGAACTTCAGAATAGAAACAAAGCAGCAATGCACTGTCGGCCGGTCCTTCTTCTGTATTAAACTGCCCACACTTCTTTCCTCTCAGCCTGACTAACGTCAGCTGTGTTGCATAAACAAATCCATTACACTGTTGTAAACATCAACGTTGGAAGTTCGAGCTAGCAAGGTAGTCTGACCTTTAGTCCCGCCTTCCCTTCGATATCATTGGTCACACATATCAAAACAGCGTTCAAAATGGAAGGTCATTGGCTGAATTAGCTTTCACTCACAATCTGATTTTCTAAATCCCCGAGTTAGCTTACACAGCTAGTTTAAGTTGACGAAGATACTGCCGACCCAAACTAATTGATTTTGCTGCACTATTAAAGGACGTTGGCCCCATTTATTTTTCAAGCATAGTGCAGTACTTCCTAATGAGTACGATACAGTAACCCTGAACTACTTACCTGAGTTTAGTAATTCCTCTGACAACCCGACCTGCACACAAGTACAGCTGGAAATACTGTGTCCCTGCTATCCAACGTATCCAGTTGTCATGTCACTTAGCAAAGTACAATTAAAAATAGAGCAGTTGCTCCCGTGCTCAGGAGGAACCTTTCATGTCGTTGTTCTACCACTACCATCCTCTGTTTTCTCACTCCTCCTCCTGTGCCATCTGCCGGTCATCACAGAAACTGATGAACTGAAGGAAAATTAAGACTTTTACAGTGAGTCAACATCATTCGTTTTCTTTGTGAATACGCGCTGCCTATGACAAATTAATAAACTAACCTCAACGGGAAAAGAGCAGAGAACAGTGTGCGTACAGTTTACGTCACTGACGTCAACCTGCGTACAACAGCCAATCATGTTTCGTGCTGTTGATCACCCGGTAGAAACAAAACGACTGTTCCTTCGTTTCCCCAGACGGGACGAAATGAAACTTAGCTAGAAGACTGCAGCGAACTCATTGGAATTATAACACTGTTATTTGAATATTCAAACACGACGTAAAGGTTGTAGTTAGTGTTGTCTAATTTTGCTTCGACCGTATTTGTGTTGCCACAACACAAGCTGACTCCAGTTAGCCGTTTAGTTTGGCGCGTCTCTCTTTGTTACAGCTAAAGATGCAGTCCACTGGAGATGTCCAAGGATGTCTTCGTAAACTGGAAACTCTCCTGCGGGCGATAAAGTACCCAGGATATGTCGACTACAACGGGTAATAACACAACACATATCTGCCTGACGGACGCTTTATAAAAGCACAGCAACTCCAACATACATAAAGGTTTCCAGTGCTAGAAGCCCATATAACACCACACGTTAATATTTAACTAACTAGCCTGGCGTGACATGTGACATTAACGTACAGTCAGTAGGAAGCTAACGCTAGTGGTAGCAGCAGTCAGCGAGTTTAGCTAACGTTAACCGCTAACGGTGTTGTCAAACGGAATATGAAAGATTTAACTGTTGCATGCGTTACTGTTACATTTCTAACAGTTAAATAATACCGATGCAGTTTACAGTCGGGGACAACTAAAACATTTTAGTTTTCTTACTATGCTTAACGTTGCGTGTACGACTTTATCTGCTGTTTGGTTCATACAAACACCAGTATGTGGTGGCCTCTGCCTCAGGTGGTGTAATCTGCAAATGTAAATGAATGACCTACCTTATTAAAGACATAGAACATGTCCTCAAGTCTTCAATGACTTTGTGTGGAATACCTCTTGTAACGTTGCCTGTCGACCACAAGGCATCACTATTGTCCCAGTGTAACGTAATGACCATGTTCTGCAAAACTTTTATTCCAAAAGGAATTGCAGTTTGTCTCTAGGTGTTCCTTGGCCACCACCCAAACCTGCATATTGTTTGTTTGTTTGTTTGTTTGTTTGAATTCAATATTTTGCTTTATTTTGTAGAAAACTCACAGACAGACATCTACCACAAACACAGCAATGGTTATGAGATGTGAGAGCTGGCTGGCATTGTTTATGTTTTAAGATCTGATACACAACTTTTTACAAATGCACCAAACCATGATGAGCATAACACTTCCATGTAATAAACATAAGAGCCATGTGTTGAAAATGTAAACTGTGAGTTGACATAAACAAACGCAGAGTGTGTTCAGATAAATATGTATTTGAATATAGAGTGTATGTCAATGCACATGTCTGTCTACACACATGTTTTTGAGCAGCATACCCTATATGTTTGGTCATCTAGTCCAGATTAATTCAGATAATAATAATGAATTAATAATTACCTTTCCACATACAAATAGTTGTATATACAGTGGGTACGGAAAGTATTCAGAACCCTTTAAATTTTTCACTCTTTGCTTCATTGCAGCCATTTGCTAAAATCAAAAAAGTTCATTTTATTTCTCATTAATGTACACTCAGCACCCCATCTTGACAGAAAAAAACAGAAATGTAGAAATTTTTGCAAATTTATTAAAAAAGAAAAACTGAAATATCACATGGTCATAAGTATTCAGACCCTTTGCTCAGTATTGAGTAGAAGCACCCTTTTGAGCTAGTACAGCCATGAGTCTTCTTGGGAATGATGCAACAAGATCTGCAAGGAAGAATGGCAGAGGATCCCCAAATCCAGGTGTGAAAAACTTGTTGCATCATTCCCAAGAAGACTCATGGCTGTACTAGCTCAAAAGGGTGCTTCTACTCAATACTGAGCAAAGGGTCTGAATACTTATGACCATGTGATATTTCAGTTTTTCTTTTTTAATAAATTTGCAAAAATTTCTACATTTCTGTTTTTTCTGTCAAGATGGGGTGCTGAGTGTACATTAATGAGAAATAAAATGAACTTTTTTGATTTTAGCAAATGGCTGCAATGAAGCAAAGAGTGAAAAATTTAAAGGGTTCTGAATACTTTCCGTACCCACTGTAAATCATCAGTACGTCACAGTTTAATTGCCAATGAGTTTATATTCACTTCATTAAGCAAAATGTCTGTTGATTTTGCCAACTATTGTCTAATACAATTCTGGCATCATATAAAGAAATGAAATGTGTCAGTCACTTTTTTCCCAAACACAACTGTGTATGAACTTCATTTTAGGATGAGTTGTGACAACTGTAGGATTGTTAGCAGCGTGGACTTTACATATCAGATTCTCTCTGTCCTCATTTGCAGTTTTTCTCACAGTTTAGCACGTTGTTCTTTGTTTCTCCACCAGCCTTTCCAAAGGAGATCCCTCTGCTTTTCTGCCAATTGTGAGCTTCACCCTCACCTCCTTCTCTCCACCCTTTGCTAAGCAGCTAATGGAGGCTGGACTGGAGCTGACTGGCAAAACTGACCTCCGATTCACTGACACTCTTTATAAGGTAACGCATACACACGTTCTGAGCGCTGTGTTTTCACAGATGCAGCGTTGCAAAATGTTGTCAAGTTTCTCAATTCCCATTTGTCTATATTTTTGGCTGTATAAATTGAATTGAATTGAACAGTGGATTTTTATTTCACACTCAAAATTCTTCTTCTAACCTGTCGTCCGTTCCACTATATGTGTGTGTTTTGTGTGTGTAGGTGCTGAGAGATATCTTCCACTATAAACCCATACTGACCAAGCAGCAGTTCCTCCAGTGTGGTTTCTCTCAAAGGAAAATCTCTGTCATCTGTGACATCATTAACTTGGTCCTGAAGAAACACAACCAGCTGAAAAAGGTACAGAACTTTTTAATGATTTATTTTTATCTATATGTGTGTCTTGAAAGCAGATTGCATAATCTGTAAGTGTAATTGGTAACATTAAAGGCAGCAATGCAGTCTGCCTTCTTTTATGGGCGACTGTGGCTCATGGGGTAGAGAGGGTTGTCCGGTAACCGCAAGGTTGGTGGTTCGGTCCACGGTTACTACATGTGCTGTGCCGAAGTGTCCCTGAGCAACACACTGAACCTCTAACTGCTCCCCGGGTGCTTCTCAGGGGCAGCCCACTGCTCCCTATATACTAGGGATGGGTCAAATGCAGAGAACAAATTTCCCCACTGCGGGACTAATAAGGGATTTAAAATTAAAAAAAATATAGAGCAATCTGAGATTTTGGATCATGAAGATCATTGAATTCATCAGTTCTGCTTGGTGAGACCAAACTTTTGTTAGATTTTTTTTTTCTGTTATTAGTACTGTAACGTACTATCACACACACTATTTATTCAAAATTTGTACTTTTGTTCGAATGTGGGAAAACATTAAATATTTAAACTGTAATGACCTTTTCAAATGCAAAATCTGTATACGCAACACACCTTTTCAAGTAGTTTACCTAGTGGTCCAGCAGAGCGTGCTCTTAAAATGTACTAACGGCTTGACTTATTGCATGTTTTATTGACCTCAGTCCATCAGTACATGAACGGACACTAGCAAGAAAAACCACACTTATCATATAATTACAACAACGAGACACCTGAGAAGCAGTACGTGGAAGTATTTTGAGTTCTACACCGGAGATGGCAAAATTCTGCTGACTTACTGGGAATCCCCACGGGAAGCACGACGTAAGCGAGTCATAAGCGTTCTGACATTTAATCAAAACACTGACTCTGTTTCTGGTAAACGTCTGTCAGTAGCAGCTGCTGGGGAGCTGAGTGGACAGCGGCCCGCTATCGTCCCTTCACCAGGCTGACTGACATCAGACATTTACTGAACCAAAATAGTTTTTATGTGGGGTCCATGGGAAGAAAACAATAGTGTTTGTAGGGCTATGTGTAGATTGAGTAGGTGTGGACTGATTGTTCCTCGAGTGACAACGTCAAAAAATCTTTTAAACGCTTTCAATGTGGATTGGATGTTACTCTACAATGACAACAAATCTGTGGACTCACCTGCTAGCTTTCCACCCAAGCGAGGCAGAGGAGCCACCAGATGCGAAAGCAGCCATGTCAACAGTACAACCGTGTGTGACATACTCATCCTCAGGACCCTCGCCAGGAGTAAAGAGGCTGTCAATGATAAGATGGCAAGATTTATATGCAAGAATATGCTGCCCATTGGTATTGTTTCAAGGTTTTCAGGGTCTAGTGACGGAATTGGAGCCACAATATATACAACACCAAGCCCCACCACAATCTCAAGGAACAAATTGTAGTTGTTTATTATAGAAAATATATAGACGTTACTTAAAGGTAAAACACACTCTGACCACCGACAGAAGGACAGAGCTTGGGCATGCCTAGTGTTCATTTTGTCGACTACTTTTATATTTAGTCTTAGACCTGAGATCAAAAGTCCTTGTTAGTTTGAGTCATATTTACACAACCTTATCCTTTTTATGCTTAGTCAGTTTAGTCTAGGCCAGGGGTCGGCAACCTTTACTATCCAAAGAGCCATTTTGCCCTATTTTCCACCAAATAAAATTCGTCTGAAGCCGCAAAAGCTATTTGATATCACAGCTTATAAAGTTGTATATATAGTTACATTATATATACAAAAACTATAGTGTGTTGTATTTATGAAAATATAGAACAAGAATAAAGACAATTCTTGACATCATTTTGCAATTTTACCTGTTATAACAATATCAAACTCTTATGAAGAGGAGAGTTTGCTGCAGCAGTTGAGAAATCGCTCTTTTTCGCTCATCTCCAGCATGACACTTTTCAGCAAATGCTGTGTGCTTGTTCTGGAAGCATGCAGGTAAGCCAGCATCGTTGGCAGTGAAAGCAAATGAATACGTCCACGCAAAGTTAAACTCTATTTTCCTCCGTGACTTTTCTTTTTTTGGATTTATCCATTGATAGTTTACCGAGGGCGGGGGTCTGCAAATCATGATTAGCCACCTGCAGGGAAAAGCGCTTGACAGAGGTAGAGGATTTAACTGCCTGTGGGAATAATTAACATATAAGATTCTGTTCATTCTTGCTTATAAATTATATTCTCTCTGAACACGTTTCTCTTTTTGGAGAGAGTCATGTGAGATAACTTCTTCGATTAGCGCAATTTCCCTGCTCTTCTTTCTATTTCCTTGTCTCAGCCCCGTGTGTCACGGTGTGTGTAAACCTCGCTCGAGTCAGAAAACTTGTCAGAATACCCATATTTGATTGGCTGAGCTGCATCACGTGATGTGATTTGCAATGCATTGGTCGGTGTGTTTCCTGCACCGCCGAACAAGTGCCGTAACAGCTGAATAAGAGGCGCCGGTTAAAGTTTAAACTCGGTGCCCAATATGTATAATTCCGAATTATCTATCGGTTTTTAGTTCCTGGGTCCGGATCCGGTGCGGCAGTTGGGGAACTCAGGGAGCCGCAACAGAGAGGTTGCCGACCCCTGGTCTAGACCAACAATGAGCATTTTAGTAAAGCTTCAGAAAACTTCTTTCAAATAAGCTTTCATCCAATTGATTTTATGATTTTAAAGAGCTGGTACTTAAAATTTCTCACAAAATGATGGGTTGCATAATTAAGAATGCTGCTTTGTGGAGACAGTGTCAATTCTGATGTTATTAATTGAAGCTACACATCCAGAAGTGGTACCTTTTCTGATTTGCATATTTATTTAAAACAACGCAATACAACAATGAGGCCCGTGGATTGATGGAACACACCGTCTTTACAATTAACACCTATTACAAAGACAGACCTGGCAGGCTGTTTTCAGTCGGTCATAGTGGCCTGCCACTTAAATGAGAGAGCTTCACTGCCACTACTGTTATACATTGGGGCGTAAATAGAGCATTTGCCCAAAGTTGGATGACAGATGTGGTCCAGCTTAGTTGGCTGGACTGGCAGCTCTGGATTAAAATTGTAATGATCATCAGGGTAATGAAAGTTTATTTTCACTAAGCTACAGATGGCCTGCGTGTTCCAGTCACACTACCAGGGGACAGCCACACACAGCCATAAAGTGTAGCAGTAACTCAATCCCCTAGACCTAAAACAAATCATTGGACTGCTACTATCTGTGCGGTGACAGTGGGGAAGTTTAGAGGTTAACAAAAATGACGACAAACAGCAACTCTGTAACATAACCAGTAGGATTGTGTCTTTATGTGTGATGTAGCCAAGAGTAAGATGTCCTGCCTCACACAAGGATGACCGAGGAGAAGCTCATCCAACACTGACTGATGCAGACACTGTAAGTATCGTGTAAAGATACCGACACACACTCTGACCATACAAGCCCAAAACTGTATTTTCCGTTGACACGTCAACACTGACCAGAGTTCAGTGTTCAGTTTTGACTTGTTTCATTTGAGGAACAGAGCAGGTGTATACCCATAAAAAATAGACAATTATGTATATTCTTTACAATTTAATAATACAAAAGGCAGCTTTCTTGACAATACAGATACCTAATTAAAAAGCCAGTTACCTAAAGACAAAAGAAATTAGTTGTCTATTATGAATGGATCCATTCTTGGGTAGTTTAGTTTTTGTAAATGCAATAAGCTGTTCATCAGTATGGCATAAGTTGTGAGAGCCTTGAATGTGCTTGTCAGAGGGTGTGTTTTGTTACAGAGAAGCAATTCATACTTTTAAACCTAAATGAATGTCACTGAAATATACAGGAACATTAGCAAGGATGTCAAGTGGTAAATGAGCAGCAATCAGCAGGTAGGGGGTGATATTTACAGAAAGGTGTGATGTGTCAAATGAATGAAGAAATGTGCATTAGGACGTTCTCTTCAGTTAAATACTATTGTGTTTTTATGTGTTTAAGGTGTCCGAGAGGCCATTTGTTGTGAATCACGTAGAAAATTCCTCCACTTTTCCTAAAAACTCCTCTTCTGTGGAAGAATTCTCCTCCCATGATGTAACCTGTACCTCTCGTAATGAAGTGTACTCCTCCAATTCTCCTGGAAATGGGATCACGGAGCTGGCAGGACACGAGGAGGACAAGGATAACATTCTTTACGTAAGCATTTATTTAACCAGTACAAAGACTAAAGCTGGGCTCTGACTACAGGAGTTTTAAAATCATGACATGCATAAGAAGAATCTTGACAAATGTTCTTCTCTCTAATCTCAAATATGCACACACTTCAAGATTTGAATTTAATGGCACATCACAGACTACAGGGTATCATTAAGATTTTTGTGCCAGAGGGAGCAACAAACCACCTCACGCGATTTCTCTCACGTGATCCAATGGGGAAGCAGATGTAAACAAAACTGGCCTGAGGTGGTTCTACAACTTGCTGTAGAAATTCTTTGCAGTGAGAAACAACAAAAGCAGAAGGCTAAAAGAGTCTGGATGAGAAAAGGAATGGGGAAACGTGGTCAACACGGGTTCTCTATTCTTCAGCGAGAACCGGGGGTGAGATTTTAAGTGTCCGTTTTAATGTCTGTCAACAGTGGTATGCTAGCTAACGTTATCCTCAAGAGCTAGAAAGTTTACCGTTGCCTGGAAACACTGTCAGCTGCCATGGCTCGTCTCTCATTGGCTATTATGGTTATTATTATTTCCGTTTGGAAATTAGTGAGGCTGCGAACGGTTCAGAAGGATTAAGACTAGATCTGTAGTCACATTAACAGATTATCTGGGCCGAACATCAGTACAGACCAATACCGGATTTTCCCTCCCAATTGTCGGGGGGTGATTCAGGGTTGAATTGGCCCTAAACTCCTGTAGTGTGAACCCATCTTTAAGCAAACGCGACCTTCGAGTGGTCACGTTGTTCTCATGGGAGAAGCTACAATGCTGGGGTTTGAGTTCTGTACCGGAACCTTGAAAGGCCTACAGTTCTGAGGACCACTGGATCAACCACACATCTTTGCAGAGGAGTCGGAACACGTGTAATGTAACTGTTTACTGTCTGTCAGTCATCAGAGTTCGAGGGAAGGCTCTCGGCTCTGGAAGCTCAGCTAGGGAGTCTTCTGTCTGGGATGGTCAGGCTCAATATCCTGGAGAAACGCCTGGAGAAACTCGACAAACAGAGAATCACAGACAAGGTTGATATGACATTCTTTACTTCTTTAATATTGTCTTCATTTGACAGGCAGCAAGAAAAATGGGTAGCTCAAGTCAATCACTCTGTTTGGTTCATACAGGACTCAAGCTCAAGGAATTCCCATCGGCCCTTAGCCCCAGAAAATAGGATTGGGAAGGAAACTTTATTTGGGATAAGACTTGAAAGAGAAATACCCTGCTATGTTACAATGAACAGAAATGAAGGAAACGATAGAGATTATGGCCATAAGTGGGCACAGGTGTGAAACATCTCTCCAGAGCTACTGGTTATTGAAAGTCAGGGACCGGAGAGAGCAGAGCAACATCCTCACCAAGCAATACACCTCTGTTTAACAAATACAAATAGCCTAATACAAGCCGTTATCAAAGTCATCCTACTGGACACTTTTTGAGATAAATGTAAATAAATAGCCAAATTGAAATCAATATAACAATAGCATGTGATGAAAAAAGAAATATGCTAGCTGCCTGTGTAGACTACGTTCCATAGCACCCGCCTCGATATGTGCAGGCAGCCAGCCAGCCCAGGAGGTACGATTTTAAGATAAGATATACTTTATTGCTTGGGCAGTAGGGCTGTACACAGCTGCAATCCTTTCAAAACAATACATAGCCAAAAGACAAGGTAGAAAAACATGTCAAATGGTGGCCATGCCCTGATGGATCCAAATAACTATAAATACATAGGCACCATAAAACAGGTAAGAATCGTGAAAGACGTGAGACCGAATACATGAAACCACATAAAGCAGTGCCTCCTTCCTGTGAACCACAAAAACAAGGATTGACCAGTTTTCTTCATTGTGAATATTGTTATTCATTAAGAAAAAACTTTTAAAATTGAAATGTGGCTATAACTCATTATGCCACCCTTGATGCCCGTTTTTATAAAAGCAATAGCTCACTTCAGCCTGTGATATGTTGTGATTGTATATTATATTGTTGTAACATACCATTGCAGCCACCTTTTCTATTTATCGTGTTCTACTCCAGAATGAAGGAGAAATCATCACTATATCCAGAGAGAGCTGGGAAAATCTGATGAGCAGAGTGCTTTTCTTGGAGACTAAACTAGATCTGAGCAATATACAGGTAGTGTACATGCTGTGACATTTCATTTGAATCTCCTCGTAGACTGTTACACTGAATGTCTTGTTTTGTGGTCCGTTTCTGCTTATTAGTGTGTTTATTTTACTAAACAAGCCTTTTCACATGACTGGTGGGTTGTAACAAATTGCTAATCAAAGCTAATACCCTGTAATGTATACACTACAAGATGAAAACCCTGAAGACAGGTCGTTGTTTGGAGGGCTACAAGACAGAATTACTGGATTTTATCTGGAAAAGGTCAAGTAGCCTGTCGTAATGAACACTAGAATGTGACCAGGATCAATACTGTAATAAAGTGAAGTCCGTCAGTCATGTTGATGTATCAGGAACGTAGCTGTTCAGTTGCATCAAACATCTCACGATTGCCGAGACAGTGAGGTATGCATGTGCATCTGAATAGACTGGTACATGAAGAACTTCAGTCTCATGATGCTCCATCTTACCCTCAGTCAAGGACGGGGATGGTGATGGTAGGTCACTGCACTTACCAGATTATACAACCGTTAAATCTGTTCATAGTGGGAAACTCTTGTATAGGTTAAGCTGTAGTGTTGGTCACCTTCAGAGGTGGTTAAACTGTGATTAGCTTGAAACTAGCACTAAACCACTTTTCAGATGAATCCTTGACTAAGCACATTTTCAAAATGACCTTTGCTTTCTCGTCTCTTTATCTTAGTTAAGTGTCCCGCTGCCGTGTCCGTCATCTGCCTCGTCCTCTTCTTGCACCATGTCTGATGCTTCAAAGGTGAGACAGAGCAAAGGACTCATCTTGCTGTCACTATGGATACAAAAAAAGATTAGATTTCAATCATTAGGTCATTATTTTATTTTATATCAAACAAGTAATATACTGTATGTTATTGTCATACTCTGGACTGCAGCCACAACATTGAGGAAAGCTTTGTTTTCTTGTCTGTCCTGTTTCTTTTTCCAGGAGGACCTCAAAGACAGACTAGAGAGGATCACCAGCATGTAAGTTCTCCAGACTTCACTGAAAAGGAGTTCACATTCACCACCTCCTGGTTGGGAAATCAGTCTGCTCCCTGATTTTCATTCATTGATGTTTGTTGTTAGCTTTCCCTTTTTTTTAAATGTGTACACAACTTAAGTTCCAAATCTGGCTAACCTTGTTAGCTGTGCCCTCCAACAAAACTACAAAGTTAGCTGTGTTTAAGATCTGATACCTTTCACACAGTTATTGATCCTTTTGCTGCATCCATCCTGCTTTGATAATAGCAGCACCAGTTGCCCCTCCAACCTTGAATCTTATGAATGTTTTTTTGATCTAGTTGGGTTTATCAGATTAATAATGAAATCATTTTTACAATATGTGTGTTTGTGTATGTCTGAACATTTTAGGTTGAAGAGCACCTCCAGTCTGCTAAAGAACACAGAATCTTCCACAACACTGCAAATGAATGACAAATATTCATCACTTTAGTTTGGGTTCATTGAAATATTTTACTTTTCTATTGTTTTGGCATTGTCAATGTTCATAATTGAACCTAATTATCACCATTATTTGCTTGCGTTGTGTTTTTCCTAGCAAGCTATCTGAACTTTAGACAAGAGACTCTACTGTTGGAGCTTTTAACTCAAGTCTTAAGGGGAATGACTGAATGAATGTCCAGGAATAAAGGCCTCGGCTGATGAGAGTGCAGTCAATGATTTTCTAATTATCACAAGTAAATGTACAAATGTTAAAACTGAAGGTGCTTGTTTGAAGTGTTTTTCATTTAGTGAAATTGGTAACTCATTTCTCAATATTGTGTTCACTTTTTTCATAACTCACACAGTCAGCCCAACAGAAGTCAATGTTATCTATACTGTGGATCACATTTCATTGCTTTGACAATGAACACACGAAATATTTCAAGGCTCGTAAACCAAAAAGCAACCAGAAACTACAAAGAACGACTTTGTAGATACCTTGTAAGCAAAGCAAACTCATTGACAACCAGTGAGGAGATGAACATAAAGAGACCATATTCGGCAGTGGTCTAGGCTGCATATTGTCACATTGAAGGACCACCTACTCGACACGCGTGTCACAATAGAAGCTCCAGGCGTACACTCTGCATCTCAAAAAAATGGCTTAATAGATAGATATAGCGGATTGCTTGTCTGTTTTGGTTCTGCACCCTCTGAACGTGAGTTCGTGAGAAATCAAGTACATGGTAAGCTTCGTGTTTCAACTGTTTCACAGCTGACAAATGACTCTTGTAAGGCCCTGATCAGACGGAGCATGTTTAAGCAGCCTGGGGCAGCTCTTTGTTATTAGGTCAAACAGATGGGTGCATGCACATGTTTACTTCTTGAAAACAATGCTTTTAAACTATTCTACTGTTGAATGTGAATTATGTCATTTTCTTCAGATTTTCAACAAATGTTATTTTAAGAGTTTTGTCTACATTCACAAATGATTCTGAGGCACTTGCACCATTTAACCCTCACCCTACCAGTTTATTTAACACACAAGGACTATCCATCCATCCAGCTGAACAAAATAAAACTACTGAAAGAATAAACCATTGTAAGAAACAACCATCATAGATGTTAACTTATTTCTTCTCAAAACATTACAAGTTATGTAATTAGTGTCATCGGAAGAAAAAAGAAAAATGGATTATTCTAATTTTAGGAAGGTTACACATTTGCTTGTGTAAAACAGACAGAGCACATGAGGAAATCTGTGTCTGCTGCATCTGTCTCATATTCAACATGACATAGAGATTCTAGGATCGTTATCTAAGAGCTCTGCCTTGTGAGCCTAATCACCAGAAATTAACGGCCACCGAGTTGGTAGAAGCAGTGGAGTAGTACCAGGCGGCCTCAGACATGCTCAGCCCTACCTGTAAAGAGCCTATCGCTTCCGTCCTTGTCCAACCCGTTGGGCCTCACCAAGAAGGTCCTAAGCCAGCCAACCCTCATTTTGGGCCCACCCCATAGACTAGAGACACGGTGAAGTTCAACAAAGTTCAGAGCAAAATTACTTATGCATGAATACAATATACTGAGTAGAAATATATACTACGTAAAAAATTACCATTACACAGGTCTGTGTGTTGCTATAAACTAACGTACCTGCATCTGTCAACGCCATAGACCCTATGATACGAAGGTCAGCACCCTGTCCACAATTTGAGTTCCGTCTCCTTCCTGTCCAGGTATTATTCCAATTGTGAACAGACCATTCTAGGTTACTGCACAGATTAGGAATTGTTTGAATCTATTTAATATTAGCAGTAAAATCTAGATTCAAGATGTAATCCCTGTTATAAAGACAAATAAAAGTTATTTTTTTAACCCTACCTGTGTTCTTCTGCCCCCTCTCATCCCACCTCAATACAAACATACTTTACAGCAGCCAATGTTCAACACAAACGTACTTTATTGCAAACAGAAAATGTAAACTGCCGTGCGCTCTCTCAGGCTGCCCAGCTCCTCTGCTCCTGCTTAAAGGATCAGGGATAATTAGCAACCGGTTACAGCTGTGCCAATTAACCATTGCACTGTTCCCCTGAACCACTCCCACACATCTCTCCCCTGCAGCTGAGCACAGACCATGGCCATTACTACAGGCCTTTAGTTGAAACTTCCTTGTCTTTTATTTACTGCATTGTTAATAAAATCTATATACTTGGTACAGCAGTCTCTGGCTCCAGTTTATTATGGGTCCTGTGCATTGAGTATCACCTGGTATATGTCAAAGTGTTTTTTTTTATATCCAGCCACTTGTCTGTTTAATCTGTATATTAAACATGCCTTTTTTGGACCCACGTCTTAATTTCAAGCAAGATTCTAAAGAGCTTTTCTAGTTCTGCTTTTTTTCTATTTCATAAACGCATATACAAGTTGACGAATCTGAGGAATCAAGTTATTGGAGGACAAAAATACCTTCAGAGTAGAAGTGTGAGTGTGTGAGTGATGGTTGGTAGGGACAGCATTCACAGAGAATGGTAGTAAATGGGTCAGATGTTATATTTGGCTTTTTACCTCCGTTGAAGAAGCCCAGCAAAGCCTTAACCTTGTGACAGAGACATAGTTTTGTTCCCTCTGATCATTCTTGTCCTTCCTTGTGTTGTTGACGTGCTGGCCAAATTAGCTGGTAAGCAATGAAAAAATGCACAACACAATCATATTATAATTCCTTACAAATAATTGATACTCTAGGTGCTATATTATATGTATCTTTAATGAATAGATAATAAAAATAACAAGCATTCAGTGCATTCAACATTCAAAACTATGTGCAAACTGGTTACAGTTACAAGATTAACCAAGATACACACACACACACACACACACACACACACACACACACACACACACAATATAAGGGAGCTATCATTTATACCCGCGTATCCTTTCTAAGGTTGCAGCCTGATGCTCATCCTGGACCCAGCTAAAGGCCAATTCATACTTTCTGAACATTGTGTGACGTAAATGCCGTTACGCGTGCAGCCCGAAATGTGTGACTGCAGAGATTGTACGCATAGCAAGCGCGCCAACTGTACACGGTCCAGTTTTGCTCCTCTCCAGTTAGTTCTGAAGAGTGGTTGTGTGAGGATATGCGCCGTTACCCACATTTGTATAATTTGTTTTTCAAGAAAGACTCCTTGCAAACAGCGTCCACTACCAAGTGGAACAGAGTGCTGATTGGTACATGTGCATGTGTGGAACATCAGACCGATGTAGACCTTCAATTATAGTATGAATGGAACCACGTTCAAGACTGTATAAGTCCGCAGTTGTCCGTGGAGTGGGTAAAGTATGTCCGAGGCTTAGCAGTGGGTGAAAGTTTGTTTACACTCTGGACAGGTCATCGGGTTGTTTCAAATATTGAGAGAAGATGAATATATTTGTAACATGATACTGACAATGATGTTTAAGTTGTATCTTAAATCTTAAAACTTCTTCCAGAAACATGTGACCTCCAGTGCACTAATTGTGAGTGATAAACCCTCACTTTAGGACTGGTCTGCATGAACTCTCAGAGGACAAACAGCAAACGCAGATTGGGCTTTTCTGGAAGGGGGGCTCTAAGAGACATAATCAGACAGACAGTATGAGAAAAGAAATGCATTCTTTGAACATCAAAGCATGTAAACATCTTCTAATAGCAACCCTAAATACAAGTATGAACCTGAAAATAAGCATGATAGATCCCCTTTAAATTGAGGGAACAAATTATATCTTAGTAAATTGTGTCCTCAGTATACTTATTATTTCTCTCTCTGGCCCATTCCCTGGCTATGATCAACAGCAAGACGGTCTGATTGCTGCAGCTTCGGGTCTCGTGTAGATGATTAGTTTATATAGAAGGTAGCGCCCACTACTACAATGAAGTTACTTTTTTTTTTATAGTAGACTGTTGTGTCAGTCAAATCAGTGGCAATGGATGTGTTCTAAGTAGGATTTAACTCACTTTTTGTCAAATTCTTAAATCATTTTATCATCATTTGTGACTTTGATGAAATGGTGGGGCAAACTAATTTACATAAATATGTAATAATTATGTTAATAGACGTGTAACTGCTGTATCCAGTAGATGGCGGTAATGGGAAGGATGCCAAAGAGGGAATGAATTACTGTCCCCGAAGGTGCGTGCCAGGCAGTCTGAACCATAGACTTTCTCACCGTCTGTATACTGCCCTCTCTTACATATTGTACTCTATGACTGTCACAAGTTAAGGTAAGTTAGTGTGCGCATGGTTGTGAATGGAGTCTTCAAGTCATTTTAGCAAAAGGAGTCGGAGATTGTCCTGACATGCAAAGATCGGGGCAAAAATACCCCAAAATAGCGCGGGAGATTTCATCCTATTTCGTGTCGAGGTAATGTGACGTAGTTTTCTGCCACGGCTGACTGTGATGTTCGGCAAACATAACAGCATACAAGTCCAGAGAGAAGCAGAGACAGCACGACTAAGACCAGTATTTTGAAGACTATGGAAGAAGTTCAGCAACCGAAGCCAGACGGGTAACTAGCTTTAGCTTTTTGTCTTGAGAGGCACAACAAGCACCGAGAGAAAGTAAAGTTACCGGTAACGTGAGGCTATGAGACAGACACTCTAGTGGAATGGGGTCCGCCCACATGCTGTTGTATTTTTCTACACTGAACTTTTTTTCGTCTGTTTTACGTTCAGTATTTCCGTTTGTCATATTTCAAACACTAGCCGGATTGAATCTGTAACGTCGCCACACACCACTCTTTCACCCTGCTTCATATTGGAACACATGCGTTCACTTTGTGACACGTAGAAATAAAATGACGTAAAGCAGATATTTGATTTAACCGTGAGCCTACCGAGAGGACTACTTTCATATCTCACAGTATCTTTATTCTATCATTCCAGTTTATTATGATTGTCATGTCAATCAATTTGTTCTTAATGACTTCATACCATTGTTTTGTGTTTCTGTTTTATTTAGTGTTTTTTTAAATAATAGGGTACCAGTCAAAAGCACCCAATTGCAGCCTGTGCTGTTTTAAAAGTTACATGACAATAGATACAGGAAATGTTAGCCATCAGTCCTAGTAAAGGTTCACAGTCTGTCACTGTCAGTCATTTTATAAGAGAGACACACATTTCCTCATGTGCTCTGTTTTCCTTTTACACAATAATCAAAGGATATGTAATTGTAACTTTCCTAAAATAATAATCCGATTTTCTTTCTTCGGATTTAATTAATTACATAACTAAAAACGTTTCGCTATGGATATTGTTTATTGCAGTGGTTTATTCCGTTGTTTCAGTTGGTAGTCCTTGTATGTTAAACATGTTGGTAGGATTAGGGTTAAATGGTGTAAATGCAACAGAATAATCTATGAATGTTGACAAAACTTTCAAATCATAACTATTTCTTCTGTTTTAAATTAGAAGACAATTACAACTAAATTCATCAACAGCAGTTTACAGGCACAGTGTGTGTTTAGGAAGTAAAGATGTGCACGCACAATGTTTTCCAGATGTCTCCTAGCTTGTTTGACCTGCTGTCCGTGTTGTTGGAGTGAAACCATGTAACATAGCTTGTCTATCATTTTAGCAAGAAACGACTGACTGCCAAAAAGTTTTTTTAAATATTGGATGGTGAGTGTTTCTGTTCTGCAAACCCTTATTGTCAATATACTATGGACGCTATACATCCTCTGAATGTCTCTAGTTTGTGGTTGTAAAGTTTCAGTAGACTGATTATCCTAGAGATCACAACAGGTTATTTCATACAGTGACGTCAAGTTTCGGAAAATGGTCTCACTACATGAATTGGCTACTATGGGGGCTAACCTCACCACACATGAATACAATTAGGCTGATTGGATCGACACGAGTGTACGCTTTCCAATCGTACCCAATTTATGCAATTTCAACACTGTTTAGGGACCTGTATGCAGATAAATATTCAAAAACACCATTCAAAACACGCAATAGGCTCTAGGTTGGCCTCTAGGTTGACCTGGCTGCCGCCCTGGGCCCTGGACCTGGCTGCCGCCCTGGGCCCTGGACCTGGCTGCCGCCCTGGGCCCTGGACTTGGTGCTGCTGGGCCCTCTTTCCCTGCTCTTAGCGTGACTGTCAGCGTAGATAGTGCGTCAGGGGTCTGTGGTGATGTTGGCGACTCACTCCACTGGTCTTGAAACACGGACCCCGTTGCGTTCTCCATGCTTTATGGGAGTGATCACCATTCATATTTATTCATCATATAATTTTACTGCAGATTATGCACAGTAAGGAGGTTTGTAACGGACCATAGTTAATCGGTACGGAGAAAATACAATCTTTTATCTTGTAATCATTTGAATTGTGCGTTTTTATGTATATAACCACTATAGATGACTTTAACTGAGTAATAGGGTAACATTTAGAATTTCTGATGGTTTACACTGACTTCACGGCAGTTGAAAATATTTTTGGGACGGCTGTAAAAACACTACTCTGGAGCCTTGTGTACCTGTCTGTATCGGTAGATATGGCTCAACAACAGGATTGGGACATCCCTAAAAGTTCCATCTGCTCCTTTCTTTCTGCTGATCTGATCCGTGATACGAGCTGGATACCATGACACCATGTCTTTTGTGATCGGTTGGACCCTTAACAATAACCTTCTCAAATGCTAATTTTGGTATTTTAAAGTGAGTGTTTATGGTAAACGTGTTGCAAATCATTAGCAGTTTACTGTGTTCACACAGCTGGTAACATAAGTGGACTTCAAACATAGGAACCTGGATAGGTGTGTTAATAGAAGGAACTACTGCTGGTCACAAAACATTTAAGCAGTTTTTGAATGAAGAGAAACATTTTCATTCTCTCTGTCTTTATATGTGCTTCTCTGTAGCGGCACAACTAGGAAGAGGGAAGACTACCTGGAATGGCCGGAATACTTTATGGCTGTAGCCTTTCTATCAGCCCAAAGGAGCAAAGACCCAAGCTCACAGGTGTGTGTGTGTGCGTGTGTATTTTGTTTGTGTGTGTTTGTTAAAGGACTGTAGCAATTAGATACTTTACAAAGTTGATCTAATTGATTTTTGAGAATAAAGTGTGGCAGCCTAACAGACAAATTGGATATAAGGGTACAGTAGGTATGGTTTTAGAAGTTTATGTTTTTACTGCATCAACTGTACAAGACTAAATGTTGATTCATCCAGAGTTACTGTATTATCTGCATGTTATGTATCCAGCGTGATAACATACAGATCCCAGGTGTAATTCAGATTTGTGTGTTATTTTCAGGTTTTATAGTTGGAAAGAAAGTGTTATTATTTACAGATTCCGATGAGAATTGTCAATATTCAGTTTTGTAGAAGTTTTGTAAACGATTAATAAACCAAGAAAGTTTTGGCAATGTGGACATTTGCCTCACAGATACCTCAGAGCAACATATTAAAAAGATCTTCCCCCATACTTATAGACCAAGTATGTGCATGTGTAGAAGGTCATGGTGGTTGAAAGAAATGTATGTCCATCATTCATGTCCAAGCCTTTAGAGTGTATGATATACTCCTGAATCTAGTGACTGTTTCATTTAATGATACATTATTTTATGATACACTGAAAAATTAGTTTTTTCTAAAAATGTACAGCCAGACTAAACTGGAACCTCTCTCCGTCTCTGCAGGTGGGCGCGTGTATAGTGAACCAGGAGAATAAGATAGTTGGCATTGGTTACAATGGGATGCCCAATGGCTGTGACGATGATGAGCTACCCTGGTCCCGCAGTGCTGACAACCGACTTGACACAAAATACCCTTATGGTGAGAATACATGTGCACACGCACTTCTTGCTTTGTCCTCACTTCAATTTTGGATAATCATCTTGGTTTTAATTTTTTCTGGAATCAAACTATTTGGTTGATGAAAATGTGCACGAAGAAAGTAACAAAGAGCTCCTGGTTTCATCCACCACAACACAGAACTCCATAGTAATCATCTGATTTCTGGAATTCGCATAATCCAATTTTAAAGGCATTTGTGTGGTGCAAAGACAGTACTTCATTAGTTGTCCATACTATGCTGCTGAGTTCTCTCCATGTGCTAAACTTTCGCCTGTAGAGGGTGGTAGAGGATAAATAAAGAAATGTCACCGATTCTTCTTTATCTCTCTCTCGGGTTCTCTTTTTCTTCTCCGTTTTAGGGTCAATTTAGGGTGGTATCGAGTACAAATAAGTAATCAGCATCTTTCTCCACTTATGATGACCACCGTGACTAGATTGACCAGGTGTATGTATGTTATGCCTGTCTCTCTGTGGCTTGATTGCAGTGCAACCTAAAACTCATAATGTCTTGTACTGACTGGGGACTATCTCAACATTCTGTCCCACAGTGTGCCATGCAGAGCTGAATGCCATTATGAACAAGAACAGCGCTGATGTGAAAGGCTGCACCATGTATGTCGCTTTGTTCCCCTGCAACGAGTGTGCTAAGCTCATCATTCAGGCCGGTGGGTGTTTACAGCACACATACTCACTCTTACCTCCAGTGGCGCCGGTAGCTGTAATCCTGTACGCACCGTGTCTACATTTTTTCTTCTTTCTGTTGCTTGTTGCTGATGATGCTGCTAAACGAGGGAATCCGTTGCTTTGGCGCTTAATGCTGACTTTTAAATCCACGTTTCTCTGGGCTTATGCACGCTTCCTGAGACCCAGACAGTAAAAATGTTGTTTGAACTCCAACAAATATGGATTGAAGCACAATGTTTCGTAAGATAAAAGCATGTTGTTTAATTTAGAAATGATTACATCTCTTTTTTTCTGTGAATGATGATGTTTGGACTTTAAAATGCAATGAATATACATGCCAAAAGAAAAGGGGAAAAAAAAGCAGAGCAGCATTCGAATCTTGAGTTTAAAATGTGAATGTCGCCGTTAGTGTCGGGTGTGTATGTAGGCTATGTTATGTGTGTCAACAATTATGTGTTGAATTGTATATAAATTAGTCTCAAAATATTAGCCAACAAACTAAAAGAGATGCAAATACAATCATTTTCGATTAATCTGTTTATTGTTTTCTTGATTCATCGATTAATCGCTTTGGTTTAAAAAATGTCGATTAGTGTTTCCCAAAGCCAAAGATGATGTCCAACTAACATTTTGTCCACAATTTAAAGATATTCAGTTCACTGTCACAGGGGAGTAAAGACACCTGAGAATCAGAGCATTTTGACTTTAAAAAAATAATAAAAAGACTCAAACCAATTCAATGATTATCAACGTAGCAGCAGATTAATTTAATAGTTGACAACTAATCGATAATCATTGCATTTCTACTGGTATTTAGATTCAATGTTTGAAATAAGGAACTTCTCTTGGGAAACCCTTCAATTCAAAATATTTTATATGAAATCTTGCACTCCATGTAGAACATTTACTTCTGAGAAAGAGAGGGTCGCTCCATATATAACAGTACGTCAGACTGTGTAACTGAGTCACACGCACACAGTGTGACTCAGTTCACCAAATGGACTAACAAAGTCTTCATGACTGTTTATAGTTCCTGTGCTATTTACTTATGCAAGTTAATGATCTGCCTCAACATACTGAAATCACAATGCAGTATTTATTATCCTCAGTAAAGTGTGCTAACCTGTGAGCACAACAAACCCGGTTCTGTTCACCTCCTTTGTATTGTGGGGACGGGACAGGGTTTTATCACAGATCTGGATAATCATAAACGTCGTTACCAGTGTTAGACAGAACTTTACCCTTTGTTATTGCAGGGGAACCCTATGATTTATTATTAGCTTACTTAATGTTGTGTTTTTAACTAAAACTGTTTGCAAAAAATGTTTTTGTTTCTTCACAAAATGTAAGGTGAAGTGATTTGAGTATGTCGAAGTCTCATTTTAAGACGTGTAAGCACATTTTGATGATTATAGGGATAATGTGAATCACATTTATTTTGGCAACATGACATTTTCATATCACTTCAGGCCTATCGTGTTGTCTACACAGATCTCAGAGGTGAAAACATGGACAAATGAAACCAAAATATCTGCACACTGCTAAAGAAGTAGTGAACTGACCCTTTAATTCTTATTTGCTGATTATACTGTAATAAACGTTTTATTACTTTATTATATTTAGAGCCATGCACCGCTGGTCGGCATGACGGAGTCAGTATCGTACATACCCATTAACTTCCATTTGACCTTTTCCTGCTAGACCTGTCCATCACCCAGAAGACTAACTGTGCTAAAGAGGAGTTTCCTTCCTCATTCAACTCCTCGCTCCATTTATGGGTCGGACCAGATAACCGCTCTGTGTTAAATGAACGCAATAGGCAGCGGCGTTATCAGTATATTGATTCAGGTATCAGTGAGACAACGGAATAAGATCCAGGAAGTCTAGTTTGAGTTTGTAGTTTCATCAGACACCTGGAACGTTATCACAGTGACAATGATTTTATTTGAAGTGTTTCTCTATAACATGAAATATTCATTAAACTAAAATGAAAGTAAAAAAATCTTCTTACGGGATGGTTAATGAAACACCCAGCTGACCTGCTTCATCTGGACTGTGTAGGTGTGGATTGATCAGATGTGTTTGACGATGACCCACCAACTTCAGATTCATATACAGAAATCCAGAAATCTCTCATGTGAAATAACCCAAACTGAAGCTTAAAAGGGAAGAGTATTTTAATGACTCTTGTGTGTGAGGACTGTTCCAATGTCAAGGATCTTTGCAATTCTATCCAGTCCTTTGTTTAAAGGATTTTTAAGGATGCGTTTGTGAGCAAGGATCCTGAGCAAGACCTAACTTTAAACTTTGAGTCTCGTGCTGTGTGCCAAAAGTAGAAACAATCAGTGGGCTTTAAATAGCACTCTGTCGGCAATGACAGAGAGACAGCGGGGTACAGCCAGAATGTCACATCGAACTCGGGGCAATTAAAGCTTTATTTTGCCCAAAAGAGTTGGTGTTTGTTAGAACAGTGGAAAGAGCTAACCAAGACAGTTTTGATGAGTTCTATTTTGTTTCTGTTGGGTTTGAATAAATTTATGTAACATACAATTAATATGCTCTCCTCAAAGCCACAAAATACAACAATTTGACCTCGCCGATTGTAAAACACACCTCATCCAAACTAAATAAAACTCATCAAAACTGTCTGGCAGGAGTCTTGCTTAGCTTCTGTAGGACTTAGAAGGACCCGTCCTACCAAAGCAGCATCCTTGACTTCGAGAAAAACCCTATCTACCTTTTCATCCATCAATCCTTTCTTATCCTTTGCATTGTTTGTCCTCTCTGTAAACCTCCCCTTTCTTCACTACAAGTTTAGTCTTTGTCCATGACATTGTTTTCTCCTGGTGTTTGCCATCATTTCCACTGGTCACTTACCTTTCAATGCTATTTTTCTTCCTCTACCTCTGTGTGCTTTGCTGAGAGTGACTGGCCACTTCTGTGGTAGCTGCTGTCATGTCAGATATGGGTTGTCAAACACCTCAAAGAAACCACAGCGGCCATTACAATAAAGGCAACCTTTGGATGTCCAATGGACATTATGCTTTATACGAGTCCTATGTAATAAGATTCACCCTATGTTACACTATGCTCTAATACTATTCCGTAAGTATGCATCATGTAGTAATCTGTGTCAGACTGTTGTGTTTTGAACTAACAGGGAATAGCATAAGACAAACTGATAGATGTCATGCGAACTGTACATAGGGTGGGTGCGGGTATTAACAACCCATACAACTTCTGCATTGGCTTTGAGTGTGAAGACATCAGAATTGGCATATTTGAATATGTTTGGTCCAATAAAAAGCCTAACTATTTAGTTTGAAATAAAGCTGCAGGCCCTTACAGCAGCTTCCATTGCTCTTTCTGAAATGATATGAAAATGGGCAGGTGCATTCAGGTACCAACTAAATGGCCACAATTTAGTTGCTATAGAGCATCGGTGGCTAACTATGGTAGTGAATTGAAAAACTGAAATATGGCTCGAGCATAGTCTACTTCATATGTACATTGCGCTCCTTAGTTTGAACACTAGATGTCGATTACTAGTCGATGAAAACCTATCCCCCGTTGGATTAGGTAAACATGGCAGAACGGAAATGATGGAAGATAGGAAGTGAGTGCCAAAAACTGGTTGTTTGACTCCAGCCTTAGTGTGTTATGTACATATGCATACGTGGATTATTTGTTGCACTGGCATTTGCCATCACTACTCTAAATCTCCACTAGTGGGATGGCTCCCTTCATTTCCAAGAGTATGAATCTCAAATGCAGAAATGAGAGAAGCGATTTCTGAAATGAGCCTCTATGATGCATCTTACTACTGGCATATATTGCAACGTCTTCTGGCAGTAGCAGCCGCTATGTTAATTTTTTGCGAAATTTTCTAGTGTTCACTGCACCTCACTGTATAAATGTGTTGGCCAGCGTTAACAGCATTCTTCTGATTCTCCTATTCTCTGAGGCTTTTTGAGGTGAAAAAGTGTACAATTTGTTCTGAGGGAAGTCACGAGAATTATTAAGATGTATCCTCTGAGGACCTGAAATATTGATCTCTGAGCCAGACGGTTGGATGGATCTGATGCATAGCACGTCTGTATTGCTATGCCAGGGACACAAAAACAGCAGCAACTCTGCTTTCTTTTTCCTGTTCTATCTCTTCCTGCTTTCAACTGCATGTCTCTGCTAAGAAGAAGACTAATGATGGTTATTTTGCACTCCTGCCTTCTGCATCTCTGATCAATTCCCCCCTCTGTCCAGGTATCAAGGAAGTGGTCTTTCATTCTGATAAGTACCATGACAAACCGGAGATGACCGCTTCCAGAAGGCTGCTCACTATGGCAGGCATAGGTTACAGGTGAGTACAAGTTTATACATACCAGAACAAGTGTTTATTATTATTATTATTATTGACATAAAACAAGGTCAAGGGATGCATAAACATACACACGCATAAAGGAACATAATATCAACAAATTAGAGAGAATTAAAAAAGAAGAAAAAAAATGGGTGGAGGTGTTGCTTCCGTCCCTTAAAGGGAAAGTTTGGGTGTTTTCAAGTGGCTTTGTATGATCCATAGTCCGTGTATGACCTCCAGAGACAGCAGTCGGCACGCCCCCAGCTTAGAGAAACAGACAGGAGTACCAGCACCACCATGGCAATGAGCCACGGCCTGTAAAGGCCCGATGCGGACAACATGCTCCACTCAGTCCGCACAGCCTTGAAGCCCCGCCCCCGCTGCTGCACAGAGTGTGATCGCTTGTTTATACATAGTTTATTAATATTGAATATGTTGTGTGTCCAAATTGCAACAACTTTGTTGCATCACATCCTTGGTTCCCAAGCAATACACCCACCACGTGTGATGTGAAGGACGGACGTACTTCAGACTCATTCCTTTATAGTTCAATTAAAATATCCAGCTTTATAATATAATTGAAAGCTCCACCTTGAACTGTAATTCTGCCAACATTCCCAGTTAGCGAGATGATAAAAAGTAAAGCTAGCTATCTGCCCCAAAACACACCCAGGAATATGAAATGCATGAAATTCACTCTGGTTTACTGAAAAAACACAAGGGCCAGACCACCACAGTCAACAGTAGCAGTCATGACCTGCAGGAAGCGGGTGGTGATGACAGAGTTTTGAGGGTGCTCCAAGGCATGCCAGAGGCCTCCTGGTTGATTAAATTAAAGGTCAGATCGCTAAAGCTGAGAAATAGTTCCTAGTGCCTCTGCTACAATTGTCTGTCTCTGACAATGTCAGTCATGTCCTGCAGGAAAACCACACAAACACAGGAAAACATGGCCGAGTGGTGGAAGCAGACCAACGGCCAAGAGAGAGAGGGAAGTGTAGGGACATTTTTTTTAAAGCAAGACAGAAGGCTGATTTTCATATGTAAGCAGAGCAGCTTGTTACTTTTCTGGTCAGTTTGCTGACAGGGCAGTACCAGTATTTTAGAATTAAAGGTTATTATTGTTATTTTGGCAATATTCAGTAAACCTGGATATTCTTTAAGGCCCTGTTGACATGAAAACGCCTTTAAGATGTAGAAAAAAACCCAAACTGTTTACTTTGTATATCTGTGTAGACTTGGGAAACATAACAGATCAGTCAAACAGACCTGAAGTTAACCCTGCCGGTCCATCATGACCGCTCACCATAGACTGTATATAAGAAGTGGACGTAGTCATCGTAACGTCACTCACTGATGCTTTGAGTTTGACGATTTGGGCCGTCGCCATCTTAGATTAAGGCAGTCACCATGTTGGCTTTTACTGAGCGATGAATGGAAGTGACTATATTTGGAATGCAGAGGAGTGACGTAGAGATGCCGTGTACAGCTCTCGTGTACAGCTCTGGTAGCAGCAGCGACCTGTCAATCACAGTAAGCCCGCCCTGAGGCATACTCTGCTTTATGGTCTGTTTGACTCTAAATGGACCATCATTTACTAAATGAACATCATGCTGTATTGAAGAAGACTTGAAACTAGAGATTGAGACCATAAACTTGTGTTTACAATGTTTACTGAGGTAATAAATCAAGAGAGAATTAGTCATTTTCTCATAGACTTCTATACAACCAGACTTCTTTTTACAACTGGAAGAGTCGCCCCCTGATGGCCAGTAGAGAGAATGCAGGTTTAAGACACTTCTGTATTGGCTTCACTTGTCAAAACTGGTGTTTTTTGACCGTCTTGAGTCGGTCGATACTATTGCAATGTTTATCATGTCTTTTGCATAAGGAAACTCATTCCCACCTTCTCAGTCTTCATTGACAGGATACTGTTCCTGAAAGGCCACTGAGATATCTGAATATTTCTTAAAACAAAGACTCCCAAACAAATATTAAGTATGTATAAATAATGAAATATTTAGCTATTGCTTTGCTATTATTAACACCACCAAAAGAAACTAAGCTCACTGAGCATGCTCGGACACTTCTTCTCTGATATTTAAGGTATCGTTGACGATGCATTTATCGCCACCTACTGAGTCGTTATTGCGTCCTAATGTGGATGGAGATATTTTGTAAGACGAAGGTGGTGTGGACAGATTTCCATTTTAAAATGTAGAGGAAAATATCACTTTAAAAGAAATATCTATACGTGTAGACGGGGTGTAAATTAGCTGATTAACTCACTCCACAGGGAAACAAAGATAGGAAAAATCTTTATCCCGAGCAAGAGTGTAAATATGTACAGGTATAGTCCAAGTAAACAAAACGCTAAAATGCACAACTCTTTCTCTTAAAGAGCATCAGGATCATGCCTGTACAAAGTTCTGTTCTGGACTATAAGTGTTTGGCTGCAGTCCAGCGCATGACGTGTATTGACACTATGGCTAGCGGACGTCCTAGATATTTTGTAATGGTGTGCTGCTGTGCCATATTCTGTGTTGGGCTATAACCGTTGTCAGATTCGTTCATTTTGATTTGTGAGAAATCACTTTGTCGTAGGTTGCAATGCTGGAAAACAACACTAATGTTGCCGTGACATTAATGAGGCCTCGCTTGCTGTCATTTGAGCCTGTGGTCGCTTGCACTCCGTATTCTTATTTGGACGATAATGCTTTAAGTTTGTGATATGTTCCTTGTCTGTTAACGCTGATTTCCTGCAGTTTGCAATATAGAAACATATTCACGCTTGTTTCTGTTAACAATTTGTCCAGACCTCGTGAGAATGTATCGGGGGTTGGGGACGGATGAAAGTATGACTCGATAAGACAATGAAGAAGAGACTTTCATCCTCCTGCTTGTTTTCATGTGGTGTTCTCCATGTGTCCTCATACCTGTGCGTCCCTGACTAATGCTTGTGGTGTTTTTTTCCTTTGTCTTTCGGCAGGCAGTTCAAGCCCAAGAGGACTGAGATTGTCATTGATTTTAATTCCATTAACCACCCTGGAATGCTGAACAGCGCCAAGTGAAAAAGCAAACGGCTCACCTTGGGGAGCTGAATGAGGCAGGGAGGTAGAGGCACACTGACGAGATTGAAAGGGACTTTGATGCCTCTTTTCTGTATGTCTTCTTGCCCCCCGCTTTGTCCAAAGGAAAACTGAAGGATACCTTGACTTTGGCTTCTTTTTATATTCTGATTACCTGGATATTAAAGATGGTTTAATTTGACGCTTGGCCCTTTGTGGATGGCTGTGGCAGAAGGTCTTTCGATGCTGCTTTGACACTTTTTTCCCCTTTTAGAACTCTCTCCGGGTTCAGGCATACACAGGGACTCTGAACACACTTTCTCCAATGTTTTAAATATCTTTTGTGTTGTGAATCTGATCTTGTCTCATCTGTCTGCTTAGGGGAAAACCAGAAATCAGCTTTGCTTTTTTTTTTTTTTTTTTTTTTTTTTTTTTTTTTTTTTTTCCCTCTCTCGAAGGTTCCAGATTAGTGTAGAGGCACCTTGACAATTAGTTCATTTGACCTTTCACATTCACAGTGGAAGCTGCATTCAGTCGTTTCACGATTTGGTTCATTCAAGCTGTCTGTCCAACCAGGAAGTAGCTCCTGTTACATTTTAGTCTGTGTTCTAATTTTAAGTGTAGTTTTTTTCTTCAGACGGGCATCTAGTACTGTACTACAGCTCACATGGCAGCACACCTCTGAGACCTATGGCAACCAAGGCTAACGCAATCATTTATTTTATTAACTGATAAAATAACACCAGTTTGTCAGATTAGAAGGATTAATGGAGCTGCTTTATTAGCTCCTCTTATCTTTACACAATGTTTCTGTTTCTGGGTGCATGATATGAGTTGTTTTTAAATTCCCTGTCGGGGATATGCATCTCATCTTAGTTTTAATAACCATTTTACAATTGTTTTCTGAAAGATGTTGCTGTCTTCAGTTGGTGAGACAAAGTTTCTGTAATATGTTATTGTCGAATGTCTTTCTTTCAACCATAGTAAAAATGATGCAGCAGATTCTGTTCAACACTATTTTTATTTTAGATACATTTTATAATACCAAAAAGAAACGTGTATCTGTGGTGACTGTTATACCTATACTATTTAAGATGGAAGCAGTTTATTCTTTTGCTGTTCTGCTGTCTAACATGCTGTTACGAGGGTATGAAGGCTAATCATTTTGTCACGTGTGTTGATTATGTACATGTGTGCTTTCACACTAGTAACTGGGGAAACACTTCTCTCATCCATCATTCCTTCAACCATGCCAGCTGTCAGTCAATAAAGTGCTGGACCACATGAGCTGGTGTCTACTGTGTTCTTTAGTCTTGAAAAGACATTTTAGGATCTAATTAGTCAAAGAAATGACAAATGCGTACATACAGGTTGTCATTCATGGTAGACGGTGTTATAGGACAATAGGTCCTGCTTTATTGGTTTGTCAGCTTTTATTAACTTGGGACGTTAAGCCAAGGGCTGAAGTATGCGTGAGCAGTTTTTGAGGAGAACTACTACTGTTCAAAAACTTTAATTTATTAGTTTAAGGGGTTAAGAAGAAATGGTAATCTACCAGCAATGTTTGCTTTCATGCATGTGTTTGACCAACCCAGCGGTTTGTCGGATGGCGCAGCAATAAAGTCTAAAGCAGGTGTTTCGAAACATCCATGATCTGAAGGGACATTGAGTGACTGGACAAAGTGCAGTTCAGTAAAGCAAGTTCTCAGAGATGGTTGCTTAAGAGTTATGATCTTTTGTTTCATGGAACATATTAGACCAGCACTTTGCGTGGCAGCTGGCTGGTAGCTTGTGTGTGAATGAGAATTCAGTTTGAACCTACTATAACACAGAGAACAGCCCAGTGTGGTGTTCTGCTCCTGTCCCAGAGTGAATGCAGAAGGTTTCCATAAAGGGTTAAACTCTAGATCTTGCCCTTTGTTCTGGGTCATTCCCTCACTCACGCTGTACTTTTAAAATAAAACACAAAGGTGTGTTTTCCAATTCCATTTGTTCAAATATTCCATCTGCATGCTATTTTTTTTTTTTTTAAGTTCTGCAAGCAAGATATTCATAGAAACATTATATGGTCACAGATATTTCATTGTTTTTCCTGTTGACTGTCGTGCATCGAGGAAGAACTCTCAGTAAATGCATCCAGCAGAGCATTTCACTGTCTGATTGATTTGCTGCTCCTTTCCATAGCAAGTATTCACCAATATATTGGAATCATTACTCTGCACCCGAATACAGACCCTGACATAACTTCCTGTGGTCTGTGTGTACTTCCTGCTCACGGGGTGTGTTTGTCTTCAACTTGATCTGAAAAACAGATTGACTTTTTTGAAAATGTTTTACAACATATATGCAGGCTACAGTAGGCACTTATGGACATGTGGCTAACATTAGCTACCGTGCATCTTATGGTTCTTATGTCTCCTTCACCTGAGTACAATGAATATTAATGTTTCGGCTGCTGGGTAATTGGCCTGTTATGACAAACTTTGTTTTCCCAAACTTTTCATCCAGAATAACCTCGACTAGTTTACAAACCTGGATTAGTTGTAAGAGTAGTGGAAGCTGGTGGTTTTAGATAATAGTGTCACCAACAATGTAATCTCTACTCAACAGCAGGAAAATATATAGCATCAAGTGTTTTGGGCTATTTTAAAAAGGTTGTTTTTAACTATTTGAATGTCAAGGGATCGGAAAATGACACAAATTGTTCATTATTTTGATATTTGTTCCCTGGCATGAACATTCCAGAGACTCATTGTCTCTAGGAAACAAACAGTTTGGTGGCTGTTTGCTCCTTCATGCTTGCATAGATCACTGAACAAAAGTTCACAGTGGGGGTAGTTGAGAGTTTGGGCATGTGTTGAAATGCCTCGGGGTGTGGAGTGTGCAGAAAGCCAGAAATCTGGCATTGACTCTTGGGAAACCCCACCAATTTAATATGCTCATTTTGTGCAACGAGGCAGTAAAATATTTCTAATGAACTAAGCTGCCATCAGCTTGAGATTCAGACCTCCTGTTGAAAACCACAGTCCGATGAGACGCATTAAGCACTTTCTGCATCACTGGACTGGGCTGCATTTTGATTTTGGCCACTAAACAAAGAGCGAGAGGCGGATACTACACAAACACAGGGAGTGGGTGCAATTGAATCACATGCTTTATTAGCCAAGGCACTGCTAAAGGAAGAACAGAGCAGGAGTGACAAAGCACTCTCAGGGGGAGGAAGCAGGGGCAGACTGAGGAAGAGATGGAGGAGCAAAAAGAGGGAGTCTTCATGGACTAAATAAAGGAGTGCAAGTCCCGGCCTTGCTCTCAATAACATAGACTGCATGTAGAAACCCACAGCAGACGGACATGAAAAAGCACAAGCAAAGGAAATAATGTCAACCTCCAGTCTTTCCTCTACTCAAGCAGATTTCACGTGTTTGTAATTTCTTTGAGACCGAAATGAGTCTGATTGTCTTCACATCAAGGCTGATGATGTAGAGTTTGTCGGTTTCCTTTTCATTAGCTTATTAGGTATAACTGAGGACTTGCTTCATACTTGTCTGATCACTTTTGTTTGAGAAGTCCTGCGGACTTCAATAAGCTGCTGAGTTGAATAATGATAGCAATAATATACCTGGTAGAAAAGCAGTGTCAGTGCAGTCCATTTACATTTGGGATGAATGTATATCATGACTGAGTCTGAATACAGCCACTGTGTTGCGTCTCCTAGTAGGCTACTTTGGTTTTTTAATATTTAATGTCAGTTTTCTGTTCTCCCTCTGGTTACATTCACCAGGGAGGAACTTTTGAACATTGGACAAATCACTTGTCAAACTTTTTCACAACTTTTCACCCAACCGTAAAGTTCTGCAGAGCTTTTAGTCGGATGAGCAGCAATGACATAATGACAGCTGATGAATACAGCAATTGTAGCTAACATACAGAGCCATATAGTTATTGTATTTCCCTGTAGTCCTGGTCACATGCATACCTCTGGTCATCATTCTGTATGCCATAAAAAGTGTCAGGCCATGATTATTTTCATTATTGATTTATCTTTTATTATTGTCTAGATCAATCGTTCACTAAAATGTCAGAAAATAGTGAAAAATGTCCATCCCAGTTCTTCAAAGTCCAAGGTGATGTTTTCAAAAGTCTTGTTTTGTCAGTTCAAACTCAAAGATATTCAGTTTAATATGATATAAAAACAGAAAAGCTAGACATTTGAGAGGCTGTATAGAATAGAATATAGTATGCCTAAAATATTAATAATTTAGTATGTCATAAAAAAAATTCAAAATAAGTAATTAAACAAGCCATAAACAATGGGATGATATAGTATTCCTGTGCGGCCCTCATTTGCTGGCTCCTTTAATCCCAATACCAAGCTCCGCACCATGGGCGACCGGGCCTTTGGCTCGGCAGATCCACGCCTATGGAACAGTCTCCCTGACCACCTAAGGGCAACACAGACACTGGTCTCTTTTAAAACTGGCCTAAAAACCTTTCTATTCAGGAAGGCGTTTCTGACCTAAATCACTGTCGGTTATTTCTTTTGTGTTTCTGTTCATTCACTGTTTTTGTTATGCTTACTACTTCTTTTATTATAGTTTGTTTTAACTATGTTTTTTACTATGTTTTTACTATGTACTGGCTCTGTGGCACTCTGAGATTTTTTTAAAATGAAAAGTGCGTTACAAATAAAATGCATTATTATTATTTTTATGATTTTTGTAATAACATTGTAAAGGCATACTATAATTTCATGACGTTTTTTATGGAATATTACACTGAGATTTTTAATGAAATTTTTATGGCATACTATACTATATTTTCATTGTATGACTCTTTGTACTTTTAATATTTTCATGGTATCATACTATGGCATAACATCATTATGGTATTTTATGGCTTAATATACTTGGCCTTTTTATGACGGACTCTACTATCATGACATTTTATGACATACTATACTATGATAATTAGTAAAGTATGCCATAAAAATTGTTTATAATGTTTTTAATGACTCTTTGATTGCAGAAAGCCTTCCCTCTATCCAGGATTTATACATGTCTAGAGTCAGGAGACGGGCAGGAAACATGACTGCAGACCCTTCACATCCTGGACACGACCTGTTTGAACCTGTCCCATAGTCCTACAGAGCACTACACACCAAAACAACACAACCAGACACAAAAACAGCTCCTTTCCACAGGCATCACTCTGAGGAATCCTGAACATCAGCCACGTAATGTCAGTAACAATCCCTGTGCAATAACACTAAACATCCACGGTAGCTGTGTATAAAACATTTTATAGTTTAAATACACCATTTTAACATGTTAATATCATCGCTCTCAATATAAATGCTGTCATGTCCCCCCTCATGCCTATAAAGCAAGCTATTACATTGATGCCATATTTATTCAAGCACATTTTACATCATTGTCCTACTGTTTACTAAATTCATAGTGTATTGTTTTAAAAAATATATACAAACACTTTTTCATATATATTTACATCTTTAGTCAAATGTTCATGTTTACCTTGTTGAGCTGTGTTCTTGCTTTATTTAGCTGAATGTCTCTTTCTGGGTAAGTACATTGAAAGCGACACAACTTCTTCACATGGGCCTACTTGGCTAATTCTGATACTGACCTGATGCACCTATTGCTTACTGATATATGAGGAGATGTTTACTTGTTGGTTTGGAGACCTGAGGAAGATTGAAATGTCTGTTTGATAAAGGTGTTGTAGTTCATCAGACTGTCTGTGGTCCAAAATCTCCTTAGGCTGAAGTTCATTATCTTCGAAATTCTGTTTATTGGGAAATAAACCATGTGTGATCCTGTACTTTTGTTTTAGTCATTCAGGGATTCAAACCAGCAACCATCCTGTAACATGTCCCCTGCTCTCCCCCCAGGGCACTGCTGTCCTCAATGCAGTCAGAGAAACCATAAAAGAGAGGGAGCGATGGAAAAACGTTCTGCATAAATGATCTAATGTGAATCAGACTGAGTGAATGAAAATCCTTGTTGACATAACCTAAATGACTAGTCAGTGTGATGTAGCTGAGAAAAGGCCACTGCTAGAGCACCAAAGTCTTACCTCACTGTCTCATCCTGAATCAGTGTGCTGTAACGAATTTCAAGCAAGAACGAGAGCGAAAGGAACAGAAAGAGCAGAGTTCAAAAAACGCTACCTTCTCACCATTTGTGAGAAGTCAGTTTCTTAAATGACTTCTGCTTCAACCAGATATTATAAAAGTTCCCATGTTTTAAAAAGCCTGCATCTATGCGCTCAGTTTGGTGGAAAAATTGTATCAGATGAGACACGAAAGGCAGTCTCCCGAGTTTGTTTTTGAAGAAAATAAAGCCTTTTCAATTTCATTTGTGTTTTGATAACTGTTACATATCTGTCCTCAATAACAATATCACAAAGCTGCATGGCACTATGACACCACGTTCATTGCTGCTAGCAGCTTTTCATCCCGTTTGCCTTTGAGAGTGGATAGAAAAAGAAACACAGATGTACACAGTAAAAACAATAGTTTCAAGGAGTTTTATTCTTTACCGTAGAAACACTGTACATAAATTACTTTCTCTGAGACTAATATTGATGTACGGATAAGTGGAATTTCTCAACCTTCAAAATAAAAAAAGATCAACCCATAAAACATTGTCAACTCGTCTCCGAAAAAAGATTGGTAGCATATGACGTTAACACTGTAAAGTTCCTGTTCTTTCCTTTAAAATGATTTAAGATGCCTTCCCAACCTTGTAAACACACACATACACACAAAGAAAATTCCTCTATGAGAGTACAGAGACCCACAATCAATGAGAAAACGTCCACATCGATTTTTGATTACTGTTACTCATTAAAGTCACTGATGGCGATGCACTGTCCCTTTAAGGAGAAACGAGCAAAAAACGAGGAGAGAAGCAACGATTAGTTACTACTCACAGCAACCCTTCCCCCCCAAAGCCATGACAACATGTTTCTATTGCAAGCAATACTACTACCTTTGACCGATAAAAGCACAAGGTCTATGCATTATGAGTCACATTTTGCAGAAGTGAAGGGCTCCTGGGCTGACAGGGGACCAGTGTTTAACCAGACCGGTGAGCCCACTCGGTCCGCAGAGAATCAGAGACCGCCATGGCACCGTGGTCGCCCCGTTTCCTCACAGCCTGACACTGTACAACTTTATAGACCTTGCAGAAGGACGGGGGATGAGGAGTGGCTTTAGAACTGACATAATAGATAAGAAGGAAACAGAAACACAACTCAAAGTTTTGTTTAGTTCAGATCATGGTCCATTCCGGTGGTGGTGGTGGTGTAATAATAGTATAATAGTGGTATAGGTAATACTATGTAACTGTTTTTGTTCATTTTTTATCCCCTTTTTGTCTGAAGCAAATGCAAGTTTATATATAAAACAAAACAAAAATTAAAACAGAAAATAAAGTCTTTTTTTGTCACTCGTACAAATTGTAGTCCTTTTTTGTGCCCGTATCTCTTGGCTTTAGAACTGACCAAGAGATACGGAGGTACCAAGAGTCCACAACAGTTCCAGTTCCTTCAGTCATAAAGACAATAGATCCGATGGCTCATGGGGTCTATAACCCAGAGTGACTGGTCACACCTGGACCCACACAGATATGATACCTGCAACATCTGCGAGGGATCCACAGACATTTGTTACGTCGACTCCTGACAGTTTATAACTGTCTAAATGCTTGGGGGCTCATCTCATTGTGATGGCTGCGGAAATGCTCTGTCAGCAATTTGAACGAGTCTCTACACCCCACTGTTTCACAGCTAGATAGCACACGATTATAGCACTCAAGTTAGCCCCGCCTACCAGAGAGAGGGGGAGGGGCATGCGTGCAGGCTGTTTAAAGGCAGAGGACAGGGTGAAAGAAAGAAAATATGGATAGAAAGAGAGAGAGAGAGAAAAGGCATTGGTCCAAAGACTAAACCTTGTTGCAGGCGCATGAAGATTCTTTGTAACTATCACAACTGTAGTTTGTGTTTCGGGTCATTTGCGTTGAAGTGATCGTTCACTATAAATCCTACTCCTCAGAATAAAACTAATTTGCAAAAATGGGGTCACTTCAGTGGGTACTTTTGAGTCTCAGGATAGTTCATTCTGTGACATCCACTTTGTGTTAAAACTCAACTTGTTGTTAGTCTTTGACAGTCACACGGGGTAGAAATCGATGCCGTGTTACCTCCTCCCTATCTCACTCTGCCGTAGGAACTGCATGTTGTTAGCGCTGTCGGCCAGCTCGGGATACTGCTCTATGGACAACACATAGTAGCCATCGTACCCCAAAACCTTCCCGCTGCTCAGCAGCTGCCTTTTCTCTCCCTCCGTCCACAGCCGAACTCCTTCCTCCCCGTCTCTCACCCGCTGCTGTTCGCGGGCCCAGGCGCTCGCCAGCGCCCTCTGCCGGGCGTGCTCCAGGATCCGTGCCTTCTCTTCGTCCAGCGTTGTCCCGTATCGCACGTGGAGCGCCAGGGCGCCGTACTGCAGCTCCACGTCAGCGAAACGCCGCGTTCTCCCATTCATCACCGTCGTCGACTGGGACACTGTGACGTTCACACCGTTTTCCAGAGATTTTCTGCCTGAGGTGAGCCGCAGTGCGCTGAGGTCGTTCTCTGGCAGGCTGGTCTTGATGAAGGAGTGCGTGTCTCGTCCCTCCACTGTGTAATGTAGGTCTTCAAGGTAAAAGGCATTGTTTAAGACTGCAGCCACTTTGATGCAATCCTCATTGGCAATATTGAGGGCGTTGGTTACCACGCGGCCTTGGATCACGGCGAGCATCACTCCCTTGCCAATCAGAGACTTGACTGTGGAGAACCACAGCCAGGGTTTGGCGTGGTCTGAATGCTGCCGGCTGAGCTGGATCTCTGGCATGCGCTCAAAGGACAGGAAGGCCTGAGACTGACGAGTCACCTCCTGCTGGACACCTGAGATAGACTGAGGACGAGAGGAAGAGGAGCAACGTTTGACTTCATGTGCTGCATTACCACATACGAAGTTCATTACACATTGCTTTAAAACAACATTGCATGACAATATTTTTTGACATTAAAGGCGCTACATTTTAAATTCAGAGTGGCTACGTTTTCGCAGGTTTTGAGCTGAAGCTCTGACTACACACGAGTGCATTTAAAGCAAGAGTCCTGTCTATGGACAGGAAACCCTTTAGGTTTCACGCTTCAGATGGTAGGTTTATGGCAGGTGGGCTAATCCTTTTATTCATCAAATTTATATCAGTGATATTACATTGTTTGATTTGAGAAAGCCCCAGAATATCACCACCTGTATGGGCTCCTAACCCTACAAGTTCCCTACACTCTTTGGATTCCTTGTGCCCTGATAACAAATTCAAGTTGAGTGAACTGGTAACAAACAAAGTAGGACAAAGATTAAACACACTGAAAAAGAACAGTGATTACATGCCATCGTGGTAAAGAGCTGGATATTCTTATGTACTCTAGCTACAGCTATGAATGATATTATTGTAATAATACCTGTGGGTGTATGCTATTGTTATGTGATTGTATGTGTATTACATTTTGATTCTCCCTCCCAGGGACTGGGGGAGAAAATGAGATATCTGGCTGTATCTTTGGACACTGTATCTATCACTTATGTCTTTATTATTTTATTATTGCATTTACTTGCTGTGAAATAAATCAGAATAAAGTAGAGAGGCACAGTTGCAGAACAGCACTAAAGCACAAACAAGATTATGTCTACAATCTATTTTTGTCTCTGTTTTCATTAAGAAGTGTTCATGTTGACGTCTCTATTTCACTGAATATCAGCAGTCTCTCTCTCTTTGTGAGAGAAATGTGACTTCCTGATAACCTGTCCACCAAACAAGTGTATAAATAGCAACCGTAACAGAGCGGCTGTACGAAGAGAGGAAGGAGCAGAGAATGCAGCTTTAAGCCAAAAGAAGCAATGAATGATTGGTTTTGCTGGATGACTCTTTATTGTCTTCTCCTCCTCATTATTCTCAATCCATTTCCTCCTCTTACCCTCTGTTTCCTTATTGTCTTTTCTCAGGTTCAGATCTGGATTTCCTCACCTTTTCACCTGCTTTATTTATTTAGTTATGTCATTTGTTCCATGACTTTTTTCTCTATTGCATCTGCTTTTCTTCTTTATGGTTTTTATTATTTGCTTTTCTTTCCTAATGGTCATTTCCTAACAGTATAGTATACCTTCATGATATATAAAACAATTTAATGTTATATTTAGTTTTCCTTTTTTCTATTTATGGAGCTAAAAAATGTATGCTGCTACGACCATTGCAGGTGAAATAAAGTTAAAATATATTCAAATAATAGTACTAAAATCATAATAATACAGTTATGATCACATCACTGGTTGTGGCCCGAAGCACAAAAACACTTGAAGGTTTGAGCAGTGCAGCAGCATTTTGTGCTCCATGTTGACCTGCCCATCAGTCATGATGAGTGCTGCTAATACAACAGGCCATTGCTGCTCTTAAGCCGTCTGCAATTCGTCCAGCCTTTCTATCTAAGAGTACTCGGTATACATACAGGCAGGTCGTCCCACAGCTGGCTCTTCTTCATCTCCAGTGATGGCTGCGTCAGGTCAAACTTGGGAATGGGGAATCCTGGGATGGCGTTGTGGAGATGGAAGCCAAATGTGACCAACCAGATATTGACATCTACAGAGAAACAGAGCATTGGATGTGGAAAAGAGAAAAATAAAAGAAGTTGATGAGCATGTTGATTTGATGATTTGCACTCAATAGAGGCGTATATTTCTTATGCTTTCTTATAATAACTTAATAAACCCTTTTAAAAGTTATAATATGCAGGATTTTCCAAATAAACAATGTATCGATTGATCAAATATAATCCCTCTCAATCATCAATATGACCCTTTAGAAATGTGTGGCGGTGTCTGGAAATGCAGAGACGCTGCCCTCTGTCTGGATTTTCTCTTTTCTTGTGTTCATGTTGTCAGCAAATAGCACAGTAACATCACTCAGGGTTTGCGGGCCGTTCAGGCTGTCAAATAGCTCCCCTTTGTCACACTCCTTGGTGTCTGATACCAAGGCACCCTTTACCTATGATACAAAAACTCACTTTATATCTCTGTGTTAAGTCTACTTTCCTCCTGGCAGATGGAACTTTTTGTCACCTGTTGCATCAGACTTATTTCACCGTGCTGTTCACTTTCACTAAACATAGCTTTCATACTAAATGTATTGTGTGTGTTATAGCCTGCATTTCCAAGAATTAGTAAAAACCCCTCACTTCACTATTCAGGCTGATGGAATACAACATAAAAAACCCTATTTGTTGTCAAACTGCATCCACTGTAGTAATGAAGTAATGCTAGCATGTTGTCACAATTTCTTCTACAAACAAATGAAACAATCAGCATGTGATTTTAAAAACAGCTTGGAAAATAGAAATATGTTTGGTTATCCGGCTTAAACATGTTTTTAGTTCCTACATTTACTATATTTATAGAAAGTAAAAGTATTAATCGTAGTGAATAGAAGGAGACCCATAATAGAACTTTTTAGGACAGCTGTTCTTTTATAGCACTTGGTTTGAAACCATTGAAAACTCCTGCTCCACTTTTTTCTCACGGAACATCTTTTGACCCAAAAAGTACAATCCCTCTCGTGCTTATTTTCTTTAAATGTCTCCTTGTTACCTGTGACATATTCTTTGACCTGATGAATCTTGCTGATAGGGTTGTTGCCTCGAAACATGTAGAGGTTGAAGGGCTGGGGGTCTTTACCAACACGTGTCCATGTGCTGATGTCAGGAGTGGTCCACCTTTGTAAAAAAAAAACACACACACACACACACAAATTGTCAAATGTGACAATGACAGAACAATAGCGTCCTGTTGTAGAGAATAACCTCTCACGCCTGGACTGTAAAATGAGTGAATACCTTCCAGCTGGGATGTCGTAGTCTCTGTCTCCAAAGTGCAGCAGTCGTGTCAGAGGATCATACAGGCCTCCATGGAAACCAATCACCAGCACAAAGTCTGGGTTGGAATCAAAGTAAACCTCCCCGTACGCTGTGTACTGCACCTGCACACACACACACACACACACACACACACACACACACACACACACAC